TCGACCTGCTGGGCTCCAGTGATCCTTCCGCCTCGGCCTTCCAAGTAGCTGGAACTACAGGCGCGCGCTACCATGCCCGACTGATTTTTTTATTTATTGTAGAGATGAGGTCTCGCCAAGTTGCCCAGGCTGGTCTTGAACCCGCGGGCTCAGGCAATCCACTCACCTCAGCCTCCCAAAGGCGCGGGATTACAGCCACCGAGCCTGACAAAAAAATTATTTTTATTTTGGGTCTTTTTTATCTATTGTTAGAGCTAGGGTCTCTTTGTCCCCCATACTGGCACAATCATGGCTCCCTGTAATCCCAAACTCCTTGGCTCAAGCCACCCTCCCAACTCAGCCTTCTGAGTACCTGGGACCTCAGGCCTGTGCCACCACACCTGGCTCAAATAGTCTGCAGTTCTAAATTGTGTGACTGGTGGAGTATGGTGGCACTTTCCTCTGGTCCCAACTATTTGGGAGTCTGAGGCAGGGGGATCACTTGAACCAAGGAGTTCAATCCAGACTGGGCAGCATGGCAAGACCCTATCTCAATTAAAAAACAAAAATCAGCTGGACTCGGTGGCTCAGCCTGTAATCCCAGCACTTTGGGAGGCCAAGGTGAGTGAATTGCCTGAGCCTCTGGGTTCAAGACCAGCCCAGATAACTTGGCGAGACCTTGTCTCTGCAATTAAAAAAAAAAAAAAATAGCCAGGTACAGTAGCGCAAGTCTGTAGTTCCAGATACTCGAAAGACTGAGGCGGAAGGATTGCTAGAGCCCAGAAGTCTGACGCTGGGGTGACTGGGAGCTTGAGTGCCACTGCACTCCAACATGGGCAAAGGAGTGAGACTCCAACTCAAAAAAAAAAGTCTGTGATTCCAACATAGGCTTCTGGCACCATGACTCTTGAACTTTCTGCTCTGGCGATCTTTGCCTCCTCTTTGCTAATGCTTACCTCCCACCCACCCCCAATCCCATGGTCCCTCTCTTACCAGACTCCAGCAGGTTGTCCTCCCCAGCTCCAAAAGGGCAGAGGGAGGCTTTATAGCTCCTGAGACCCACCTCCCCTCCACAGCTGCCACCCCCATCTGTGGCCTAGGCCAAAGTCCTGGCCAACAGAACCACCCAGGTCAGAAGGGGCAGTGACGTTCCCCAAGGTCAAGCTGCATGGAGCCATCACTCTGAAAAGTCACCCCTGAGAGAGACCGGCTGGGTTGGGGGCCGTGGAGGGGTTGCGGGTCCTGGGTGCCCACCAGGAACGGGTCTGGGATATGCATCCCATGGGAAATGAGGGCAGAGCTCCGAGAGGCCACCGTGGGGGCCTGCTGACCACCTGCTCTGCAGCCTCCACCAGCCTTCACCCAGGAGTCCAGGCCTCAGCCCCTCCTTCCTCAGACCCAGGAGTTCAGGCTCCCAGGGCCCACCTCCCTCAGACTAAAACTGAGGTGCCAGGGAGCTGGGCTCCGTGGCTCAGCCTGTAATCCCGCGCCTTTGGGAGGCTGAGGTGAGTGGATTGCCTGAGCCCGTGGGTTCGAGACCCATCTGGGCAACTTGGCAAGACCTCATCTCTACGATAAATCCAACTCAAAAAAAAAAAAGAAATCTCCCAGCGTAAGCCCACAGTGAAGGCATCACCCCCTTCCCCCAAAGCCCTTCACTGTCCCTCCCCTGTCTTCTACTTATTAACTCCTGGGAGGGGGCGGGGTGGGTTTATCTCTGCCCACATAGGGGAGGGATCTGAACAGGAACACAGATAAGAATTCATTTATTGGGAAGGTATAAACAACATACATATAAATATATATATTTTGGAAAGGACATCTCGCTACAAGTCGAGGTGGGTCTTGAACTCCTGGGCTCACACGTTCCTCCCACCTCAGCCTTCCGAGTAGCTGGGACTACAGGCATGGGCTGTTCCTCCGACTTCTAGGAGGATTTTAATCCTGGTCCTTCTCCCCACAGAGCAGCTTGGGGCACAGGCTGTGGGCCCTGTTCACGAGGCTGTCCTTGGAGCTGATGAACCAGGCTTGGGTGCGGGGACCCAGGTCCCTCAGGTGGTCGTCATAGTAGGTCTGCACGAAGCCCTGGAGGGCCCCGGGGCCCCTGCAGGGGAGGGATGTCAATGTTGAGACCACAGCTACCCCCTGAGTTTCCCTGCCTGGTTACCCCCTCCTCTGTCTGACCCATGAGTTCCTGCTGTCAGCTCTCACCATCCACTCCTCTCAGACCTGGAGACTACAGCCCTGGAGTCCCGGTCCCTGGGCCCTCCTCCCTCAGAACCAGGAGTCCAGGGGCCCGACCCCTCCTCCCTCAGACTCTGGAGTCCAGGCTCCCAGCTTCTCCTCCCTCAGATGGGCTGCTGCCCCTCCCCTAGCGCCACACCTGCGCACTCACCAGAACCACTGCCACCCCTCTCTGGTCCTGGTCACCAGCTCCTTCACCCGGCCCTGCACCTGGCTCCAGCGGCTCTGCCTCGGCTCTGGCTCTGGCTGGGAGCTCAGGGTTTCCGCAGGCACTTCTTGCTGGCATGCTTGATGGAACCAGAGGACCATTTAGGAGGCAGATAACCCTGCCTTCCTTTCCCTCCACACTTGTCCTCTGTCCCTCTTGGTGGCCAGGGCAGCCCCTCGCCAGCCCTCTGGCCACCCGCCTTCCCCGCATGTGTCCCTCCGACCACTAGCCTCCATTCAACCGCAGCTCACCTCCTTTTACCCAGTGTCCGTGGTCCCTCTAGTCATGCCTGTCTGCTTGGGGTACTCTCCCTCTGTCTCCTCTGTCTGTAACTCCACTAGGCCCGTCCTGTCCCCTCCCTTCCCAATGCTTCCTTCACCACTCCTTCCTCCCTCTCTCCTGTGACAACCTGCAGACAGCAGAGAGGGAGCACTGGCGACTTTCTGCCCCCAGGGAGGATGTTGGCTCAGCCAAGTTCCCGCCCCGTGGCTCATTTTCCTTCCTTGAACATAGGTCTGGAATCCACACACCCAGGCAAGATCTCACCTACGGAGCCTAGTCACATGGGGACACAGACACACATTCGTACAGAGGCACCCCTGTGACACGCTGTGTGTCTCAGCCAATGAGGTAACCTCTCTGAGACTCAGTTTCCGCTTCTGCAGAATGGGATAATAATAGCACCTTCCTCAGGGTTAGTGTGAGATTGAAGCATTGAGACATACCATGCATTTAGAACGGGACCTTGTACAGTGTAGGCACCATATACATGTTCAATAAAAATTTAGGCCAAGCATGGTGGCTCATGCCTGTAATCCCAGCACTTTGAGAAGCCAAGGCGGGAGGATTGTTTGAGCCCAGGAGTTCGAGACCAGACTCGGTAACATAGTGAGATGTCAAAAAAAAAAACAAAACAGGAGTGGTGGTGCACGCCTGTAGTCCTAACTACTCAGGAGGCTAAGGTGGAAGGATCACCTGAGCCCAGAAGGTCAAGGCTGCGGTGAGCCGTGATTGTGCCACTGCAGTCCAGCCTGAGTGACAGAGTGAGACCCTGACTCAAAAAAGATTGGTTTCGATTTTTTTTTTTTTGAGTTGGAGTCTCACTCTGTCGCCCAGACTGGAGTGCAGAGGCTGCTCCCGGCCTCCGTAGCCTCGACCTGCTGGGCTCCGGTGATCCTTTCACCTCAGCATTCCAAGTAGCACATGCTAACTTTTATTTATTTATTTATTGTAGAGACGAGGTCTCACATTGTCCAGACTGGTCTCGACCATCTGGTCTTAGCAATCCTTTCACCTCAGCCTCCCAAAGTGCTGGAATTACAGACTTGAGCCAACACACTTGCCCTAAGTTTTTGATTTATTGTAGAGATGAGGTCTCACCAAGTTGCCCAGGCTGGTCTCAAACCCATGGGCTCAGGCAATCCTCTCACCTCTGCCTCCCCAAGTGCTGGGATCATAGGCATGAGCCACTGCACCTGGCCCGCAAAATTGTTTTTAATTTAAATGTGTGAGGCCGGGCTTGGTGGCTGAGCCTGTAATCCCAGCACTTTGGGAGGCCGAGGCGAGTGGATTGCCTGAGTCTGCAGGTTCAAGACCCATCCGGGCAACTTGGCAAGACCTGGTCTCTACAATAAGTAAAAAATTAACCGGGCATGGTAGCGCATGCCTGTAGTTCCGGCTACTTGGAAGGCTGAGGCGGAAGGATCGCCGGAGCCCACCAGGTCGAGGCTGCAGTGGCCAGGAGCGTGCCACTGCACTCCAGTCTGGGCGACAGAGTGAGACTCCAACTCAAAAATAAAATAAAAAGCTGAGCTCGGTGTCTCACCCTGTAATCCCGCGCCTTTGGGAGACTGAGGTGAGTGGATTGCTGAACCCGCAGGTTCGAGACCTGCCTGGACAACTTGGCGAGACCTCATCTCTACAATAAATCAAAAAAGTAACCAGGCATGGTAGTGCGCGCCTGTAGTTCCAGCTACTTGGAAGGCTGAGGCGGAAGGATCGCCGGAGCCCAGTAGGTCGAGGCTGCGGTGGCCGGGAGCGGCCACTGCACTCCAGTCTGGGTGACAGAGTGAGAATCCAACTCAAAAAATAATAATAAAATAAAATAAAAAACAAATGTGTGTGCACCAGCACACGCTCACAGACACCTTCACAAGTGCCCACATGCATCTTTTGCACACACAGACCGCATAGAGACACACGTGCACACAAACATACACGTGATCATAAACGCACACGTTTACCACCCTGACTGCATATAGACAGGGACCTGATGGCCACTGTCCTTTGTACCAACACCCCCATCCCCACTTCACACTCAGCCACTGACACACAGCTCCCGTCACACACACACATGCACAAGCCACAAAGCACACACACGCCCTTCCCACCTGTCTACAAACCCACAGCCGCATCGCCCCCACCCAGGTGTGGGATCCACGTCCACCCACCCTCTTCTCCTCACCCACAGCACAGGCCAGGGCCAGAACGCAGACCCAGAGGGAGGGCAGGGCCCGGAACCTGCATCTAAGGAGGGACATTTCTGGGGGCTCCGTCGCTCTGTCCCTTCCTGCTCAGCTCTCCCGGCCGGGGGGAGGGGAGGTTGCACAGAGCAGGCCCCTCCCCAGGCCACCTCCCCACGCCTCTTGGCAGGGGCCCAGGGGACAGTGACAACCAGAGGCCATGCCCGCCCCCCTGCAGGCCTCCCTCCTTTCCACCCTCCCAGCACGGTGGCCTGACAGAAGGTCCTTCAGCCTCCTGCCCAGGTTCAAATCCTGGCTCCATCTCCCATGACAGTCCCTTTTCTGGCTTCAGTTTCCTCTTCTGTAAAATGGGGGCCGTGAGCTGGGCTCGGTGGCTCAGCCTGTAATCCCGCGCCTTTGGGAGACTGTGGTGAGTGGATTGCCTGAGCCCGCAGGTTCGAGATCTGCCTGGACAACTTGGCGAGACCTCATCTCTACAATAAAATAAAAATGAGCCGGGCATGGTAGTGCGCACCTGTAGTTCCAGCTACTCGGAAGGCTGAGGCGGAAGGATCGCTGGAGCCCAGCAGGTCGAGGCTGCGGTGGCCGGGAGCGGCCACTGCACTCCAGTCTGGGCGACAGAGTGAGACTCCAACTCAAAAAAAAAACAAAAAAATGGGGGCCGTGGTCTGTTATGTCAGGGCATTAACTAGACAACACGATACAAGCTCTTATCACAGAACTTGGCAACATAAGTGCTCACAGTTCATAGCCGTTATTTCTTTCGTGTCTAAAACCCCTCAGGGCCAGGTGCATGGTGAGGACTCAACAGGGCCAAAGGGACAATGGCAGGAGACAGCTACACCATCTTGTGTCTCCAGTCTCTGCTTCTTCCCTGGTGGGCTAGGGCTCAGTCCCCTCCAAGTATCTCTTGAGTTTTGAATTCCAGTTCTTTCTCCTTGCGTGACCCTGGGCTCAGACAGACCCAGGCTTGGAGTCCTGAACTGTTTTACCATGTGACCTGGGCAAGTATGTTCCCCTCTTTGGGGCTCCACTTTTTCTTTTTTCTTTTTTTTGGAGGAGTAGGGGGGTGGTGGTGGGGTGGAATCTTACTCTGACACTCAGGCTGGAGAGCAGTGGCACGCTTCTGGCCACTGCTGCCTCAACCTGCAAGGCTTAGGTGATCCTTCCACCTCAGCCTCCCAAAGCACGGGATGACAGGCTGAGCCACCAAGCCTGGCTCATTTTTTCCTCTGTAAAACGAGAGTAATCATCAGCACCTGCCTCCCAGACTCCATGTGAAGTCCACGTGAGGCCTATGCAATAAATAGTAGGTGCATTTAGTAGGACATTACCTGCGTCAGGCCCAGGCTTGGAGCTAGACAGAAGGAAAATGAGCCGGGCACGGTGGCTCAGGTCCGTCATCCCAGCACTTTGGGAGGTGGAGGCAAGAGGTTTGCCTGAGCCCAGGGATTCAAGACCAGCCTCGGAAATTTGGCAAGACTTCGTCTCTACTATAAATCAAAAAATTAGTCAGGTGTGCTAGTGCACTCCTGTAGTTCCAGCTACTTGGAAGGCTGAGGCAGAAGGATTGCCTGAGCCCAGCTGGACAAGGCTGGGGTGGCTGTGAGTATGCGACAGAGTGAGATTTCAACTCAAAAAATAAATAAACAAATAAATAAAATGGAATTGCCAGACAAAAACCAGAATGGTCAATTGCATTTCAATTTCAAATAAGCAATAAATAATTATTTAGTAGAAATATGTCCCAGTCGGGCATGGTGGCTCACGCCTATAATCCCAGCACTTTGGGAGGCCAGAGTGAGAGGATTGCCTGAGCCCAGGGGTTTGAGACCACCCTGGGCAACTTGGCAAGACCTCATCTCTACAATAAATCAAAAATTAGCCGGGTGTCGTGGTACACACCTGTAGTTCCAGCTACTTGGAAGATTGAGGCGGAAGGATCGCTGGAGCCCAGCAGGTCAATACTGGGGTGGCCTGAGTGTGCCACTGCACTCCAGCCTGAGCAACGGAGTGAGACTCTAACTCAAAAAAACAAAACAAAACAAGAAATATGTCCCATGCAATATTTGGGAGTTATACCAAAAAAATTATTTGCTGTTAGTCTGAAATTCATATGTAACTGGGTGCCCTGTATTTTATTTATTTATTTTTTTAGTTAGTCTCACTCTGTCTCCCCAGCTGGGGTGCAGTGGCACGCTCAACGGCCACCACAGCCTTGACCTGCTGGGCTCAGGCGATCCTTCCACCTCAACCTTCCAAGTAGCTGGAACTATAGGCACGCGCCACTACGCCCGGCTAATTTTTGATTTATTGTAGAGATGAGGTCTCACCAAGTTGCCCAGGCTGGTCTCAGACCCCTGGGCTCAGGCAATCCTCTTGCCTCAGCCTCCACAGTGCTGGGATTATAGGCATGAGCCACGGCACCCAGCCTGTCCCGTATTTTTTTTTTTTTTGAGTTGGAGTCTCACTCCATGGCCCAGACTGGAGTGCAGTGGCCGCTACCGGCCACCGCAGCCTCGACCTGCTGGGCTCCAGCGATCCTTCCGCCTCAGTCTTCCAAATAGCCGGAATTACAGGCATGCCCTACCATGCCTGGCTGATTTTTTGATTTATTGTAGAGATGAGGTCTCGCTGCCCAGGCGGGTCTCGAACCCGCGGGCTCAGGCCATCCACTCACCTCGGCTTCCCAAAGGCATGGGATTACAGGCTGAGCCACCAAGGCTGGCTCCGTCCTGTATTTTTATGTGGCCAATTTGACAATCCAGCCTTGGCCAGAAGCTGAACAATTGTGAGGAGGGTCATGGCGCAGATTCCTCCGGTGGAATGTTGTCTATCCCCTGGGCCCTGGCACGAGCACAGTAAGTGCTCAACAGATGTTCCCTGGCGTTCCTCGTTGACAATAATCAGCAAATGAAACCACCCGGAGTTTCTGTTTGGGATGATGAAAATGTTCTGGAAATAAATAGTCGTGATGGTTGCATAACCATGTGAATGCTCTTAATGCCACTGAACTGTACAACTAAAAAAACAGCTTCAATGGTAGGTTCTATGCTATTTAGATTTCCCCACAATAAAGGAAAAAAAGCAGCGGAGGGAAAGAACCATAGGCATGTTTATGTTAAGGCAGCATGACATACCTGCTCCCCTGATCGATATCATGGCTTCAACTGACCGTGGGGAAATGATACAGAGATCCGCTAATGTCTGTCCATATTGCCACAGTCCCTAGAGAAGGGCATGGCAAGGCGAAAACGTTCCTGTACATTCCTGAACAATATTCCTGAGAGTTAATAAAAGATGCGCTTCCGGCTGGGGTCAGTGACTCAGCCTGTAATCTCAGCACTCTGGGAAGCTGAGGCGAATGGATTGCCTGAACCCACCAGGTTTGAGACCAGCCCGAGCAACTTGGCAAGACCTCATCTCATCTCTACAATAAATCAAAAATTGACCGGGCATGGTAGCGCATGCCTGTAGTTCTGGCTACTTGGAGGGCTGAGGCAGAAGGGTCACTGGAGCCCAGCAGGTTGACACCGAGGTGGCAGTGAGTGTGCACTGCACAGCCTGGGCAACAGAGTGAGACTCTGACTCCAAAAAAAAAAAAAAAAAAAAAAAA